AAACAAAATAAACTTAATTATTTACTAATTTTGGTCTCTAACAGTAGGTTATTAGTGCATTAACACTTTGAGTAACTTTGGGCTAGTGTAGTAGTGTATTAAGCGCATTCTTGGTATTTCTTATTTTACACCAGACTAGATCCAATATGGCTTGTACATCCCCCTTAACACTGTTTTATATAGGACTCTGCTATATTTTACTTCCTCAAGCTAACGCAAAAACCATTGTGACGTCATAACTGTGGGATATGAAAACATATCCCATGAGCTATATCCACGGGATAAAGGTGTAAACATGGGATAAAAAGTTATACTATATATAGTACGTATGCACTTGCATGTACACATGTATTATGTAACTACATATTATTATAATTTATGATAATTATATAGCTAGGATGTGCTACATGTAGGTAGTTCAGAACAAAATCTACCATTGCAATATTAATATTTATACACATTAACTGCATAGTAAACAAGAAATGTGAAGGGGAGTAGAGGGATAAGAATCTTTAAAAATATCTTTAGTTTCTGAAATTTCAAAGTGATTTTAGTGTTTTCTTCATGACTCTTTTCTTTGTATTCTCAATACAGTTAACAAAGCAGCACACAATTATTGAGTACAGCTTATGGTCCTACAAATATATCAGTGTTGAAAATCAAAAAACCACACAAGACCAGAAGGTTTTTAAATTCAAAAAAAAGGCCTACCTTGCGTTCCGAAGCATTGTTTTGTTTCCGACACACCATGCACTGCCAGTACTGAGGTTGTGGGTTATTTTCTTCGTTTCTAATTATATTCTCTTCAACCTGAATTAATTTTAATTTCTAATTAAAAAAAATATTATTTATATTGCTTGTTAATGTAACGTACTTATGGTATATTCAAATAAAAAACGAACATTTATTAATTAGATACTTGTTTTTTTTTTAATCTACTTTATAACTACAGCATTTCAGAAAAAATGGGGAGTTACCATTATGTTATACTTAACTTTATACGTGTAGCCAAGTTAAGGGAGGATAAAAAATAAGTGTGCCGAAATTAAGTGATTTTAAGATGATTTTAAGGTCTACTGGTCAGAGACCAGAAGAGCTTATGCGATAGTAATGCGTCCGGCGTCCGTCCGACTGTCTGTCTAGCTGTCTGTCTGTCAACAATTTTTCAAAACGCTACTCCTCCTACAATTTTAGTCTGATTTCAACATAACTAGGCACACAAGTAGACTACACTAAGATACATAATTTAGTGCATCGGTTTTTGATTTCGATGAATGTTGTTGCCATGGTTACTAAAAATAGTATTTTCTGTGAAATTCATTTTAAAATGCTACTCCTCCTACAGTTTTGGTCTGATTTCAATATAACTTGGCACACAAGTAGACTACACTAAGATACATAAAATAGTGCATCGTTTTTTGATTTTGATGAACGGTGATGCCATGGTCACTAAAAATAGAATTTTCTGAAAAATTCCTTTAAAACGCTACTCCTTCTACAGTTTTGGTCTGATTTCAATATCACTTGGCACACAAGTAGACTACACTAAGATACATAATTCTATGTATCGGTTTTTGATTTCGATGAACAGTGTAGCCATGGTTTCTAAAAATAGTATTTTCTGTGAAATTCCTTTAAATTGCCACTCCTACTACAGTTTTGATCTGATTTCAATATCACTTGGCACACAAGTAGACTACACTAAGATACATAAAATAGTGCATCGGTTTTTGATTTCGATGAACGATGTTGCTGTGGTTACTAAAAATAGAATTTTCTGTGAAATTCCTTTAAAACGCTACTCCTTATACAGTTTTAGTCTCATTTCAATATCACTTGGCACACAAGTAGACTACACTAAGATACATAAAATAGTGCATCGGTTTTTGATTTCAATGAACGGTGTTGCCATGGTTACTAAAAATAGAATTTTCTGAGAAATTCCTTTAAAACGCTACTCCTTCTAAAGTTTTGGTCTGATTTCAATATTACTTGGCACACTAGTAGACTACACTAAGATACATAAAATAGTGCATCGGTTTTTGATTTCGATGAACGATGTTGCCATGGTTACTAAAAATAGAATTTTCTGAGAAATTCCTTTAAAACGCTACTCCTTCTACAGTTTTGGTCTCATTTCAATATCACTTGGCACACAAGTAGACTACACTTAGATACATAAAATAGTGCATCGGTTTTTGATTTCGATGAACGATGTTGCCATGGTTACTAAAAATAGAATTTTCTGTGAAATTCCTTTAAAACGCTACTCCTTCTACAGTTTTGGTCTGATTTCATTATCACTTGGCACACAAGTAAACTACACTAATTTACATATAATAATGCATCGGTTTTTGATTTCAATGAACGGTGTTGCCATGGTTACTAAAAGTAGAATTTTCTGTGGAATTCCTTTAAAATGCTATTCCTTCTACAGTTTTGGTCTGATTTCAATATAACTTATCACACAAGTAGATTACACTAAGATACATAATTCTGTGCATTGGTTTTTGATCAGTACAAACCAGTAGAGCTACAGTCTCGACAGAGACTTCTGGTTATAAATCTACATAGCCATGTCTTATTTTTAAATGTCGTTAACACAACAAGAGGAGATATTGACTACAGTAAATCCGATAGCAAAATATTGTCGTTATTTTTAGCTCTACTGGTCAGAGACCAGAAGAGCTTATGCGATAGTAAGGTGTCCGTCGTCCGTCCGTCTGTCTGTCTGTCCGTCTGTAAACAATTTTTCAAAACGCTACTTCTCCTACAGTTTTGGTCTGATTTCAATATAACTTGGCACACAAGTAGACTACACTAAGATACATAAAATAGTGCATCGGTTTTTGATTTCGATGAACGGTGTTGCTATGGTTACTAATAATAGAATTTTCTTTGAAATTCCTTTAAAACGCTACTCCTCCTACAGTTTTGGTCTGATTTCAATATTACTTGGCACACAAGTAGACTACACTAAGATACATAAAATAGTGCATCGGTTTTTGATTTTGATGAACGGTGTTGCCATGGTTACTAAAAATAGAATTTTCTTTGAAATTCCTTTAAAATGCTACTCCTCCTACAGTTTTGATTTGATTTCAATATTACTTGGCACACAAGTAGACTATACTAAGATACATTAAATAGTGCATTGGTTTTTGATTTCGATGAACAGTGTTGCCATGGTTACTAATAATAGAATTTTCTTTGAAATTCCTTAAAAATGCTACTCCTCCTACAGTTTTGATTTGATTTCAATATTACTTGGCACACAAGTAGAATTCAATAAGATACATAAAATAGTTCATCTGTTTTTGATTTCGTTGAACGGTGTTGCCATGGTTACTAAAAATAGAATTTTCTTTGAAATTCCTTTAAAATGCTCCTCTTTTTACAGTTTTGGTCTGATTTCAATATTACGTAACACACAAGTAGACTACACTAAGATACATAAAATAGTGCATTTGTTTTTTATTTTGATGAACGGTGTTGCCATGGTTGCTGAAAATAGAATTTTCTTTGAAATTTCTTTAAAACGCTAGTCCTCCTACAGTTTTGATTTGATTTCAATATTACTTGGCACACAAGTAGACTATACTAAGATATATAAAATAGTGCATTGGATTTTACTTTCGATGAACAATGTTGCCATGGTTACTCAAAATTGAATTTTCTTTGAAATTCCTTTAAAACGCTAGTCATCCTACAGTTTTGGTCTGATGGCAATGGCTTTTTTTCTCATCCTTTGTTATAAGTACAAACCAGTAGAGCTACAGTCTCGACAGAGACTTCTGGTTCATATTTGACCTGATTTAAAAGATTTTAGAACTCTTTGCTGTGTCCATATGCAAATCTTATCAGAAAACTTAATAAAGACTTTACCATGTCTAAATTTCGATCCGGTTCGGGTTCCGCCGGAACTTCTGTTTCCTCTTGATCTAGCGTCTGTCCGGGCATGGAGTACCCCGGGGGTGGGGTACGGTACATCTCATACGGCGGGGGAGGACGATGGTACCTTATGTTAGATCTAGCCCGCATGGGGTAAATAAGGTTCGACCGCGGCCGTAAACGTCGACGGCTATCGTCTCGCCAGTTGGAGGACTCGGATTCTTTGTAATATTCAGCTGAAATCATAAAAAAGATAACATAAAGTCTTAACTATCATTAAATTTGTTAATATTCAATAAAACAGTCAAACCTCTTTCTCATAAACTCGATACTTTGTACAGATAATCTACAAAAGATATCCGAGGAGTCGAGACACTTGAAGAATATGTAGTTGGGACTTTCAAATGTCTTCTAAATATCAATGGAAGTAAAAACATCCGTGTACGAGATATACTGAAGTTCAAATAAAGACATATGAATATTTTTATCTCGTTTTTCATTAAATCTGATTTGGATCGTACCTGAATTTCCTATTAACGAGACTCCCCAAATCCCGCTCCAAATCCAGCCAATCAGAAAGCAGGACACCATGATCAGCTGGAGGAAACCGATCGCCACTACAACTATGGCGGAGGAATATTTCTGTTTAGGTGTGATGTCGTCTGTTTTGGCACAACACAGCACAGAAAAACCCGCTATCATCGTGCCTATTGCAAAAAAAGAGAGATTTTTTTATGTTTCCTGATGAGCATACAGTAAAACGCGTATATACCGAAGTGTCTGCTACAGACGGTTTAGCTTAATTATTTTAAATGCAATTCGTTATATCCGTTATCATCACAGCTCGCGTGTTTAAACCCCATGTAGATGGGAATCAATTCGTTATAAGCGGCATTTATTTATAAATGCATTCGCTATAAGCATGTTTTACTGTAATTACTTATTTCTGTGACTGACATGTAGTACTCGTTATTCAGCTCCTAAATAGATAATGTTAAGGTTAATCAATAAAGATTGAAATTGTTTGATAAATATTCTCACCTACACCGGGAAGGATGAAGTTTGTCACACAACAAATGACAGCCATTTCTAGAGGTAGAATAGGGATGACGATAGCATCGTCATCGTCATCATCATCAGGAATATCTTCAGTCAACCACGATCTTCGTCTGTCGAGGTACTGAGGCGGTTCTCGTGAGACTGTAACTCTGTGGTCAGCTAACGGCTGTTCTCTGGACACAAGGACCCTGTGGTCATCCTGTGATGGTTCCCTGGAAACGGAAATCCCGTGGCCGCCATTTTGGCGCGTTTCCTGGGGTACAGTATCCGTGTGGTCAGCTGCTTGTGACAAAGTTTCCATATGACCAACAGCAGAAAATTAAGTAACTTTACATAGGAATTTAGCGCACATCATTCCAGAAAAATCAGCTATTCACCATTCATATTCTACATAAATCACATTGAATTGTACACAGTATTGCAATGTTCTTTGCTAACAAATTCAGAATTTTAAGTAAGTCGGTATTTTAAATATGAAAACAGTTTAAAAGCCAAACTTAATAAAATATTCCCAATATTGGCGTAAGCCAAAGAAGAAGAATCAATTAAAATCCAAATACAAAGTGCGCGTGACACAAAAACGGGCAAAAGAAAGCACCGACTCTCTCAATATATCATTATTTTGACAAAAAAGGGACAAGTTTAAATGATTACTAAGCCGCTTTCCTTTGTCCGTTTGTTAATGATATTTGTTTACCGGTATGTAGATATATCTGAGTGCGCAGACCCATTGAAGTCCTTCGTTCCATGCTTCGGATTAACCGACAATGACATGGAATTTGAGATTTAATATCTCTTGGATAATCTTAAGATAAATTTGGTATAAATAGATAATGTCTTTTTAAATGATCCAAGATTATGATATTAATCTTCTAATACACATTTTGTATATATTTTTTGTAGTGTATTAACACTCATTTGAGGCATTAACAATTAATCATTTATTAATTATGCATACCATTTGGCATAGTTATCTGTCAAATTTACTTTGAGAAAAATGTAATAAGCTGAAAGATTCAATTTTAAAAGATCAAAAGCCAAGACTTGGTGACTTTTCTTGTTATTATTTTAAATCATCGGACTCGAAAATCCTATTTAAAGGGGGGGATAGGAATTAGAAGAATTAATCCAGAACCAAGCGCAAATTTTTGTGTGCGCAATAGATCTACGTTTTCAATGGGTGGCACTGAAGCTCTCCGGTCTGTCAATTCAATATATTTTTTCGGTGAGCTGCACTTCTGCAGCTACTGAATAGCTCTATTATTTTTATGCATTGAGAACAGGGTTAATAATTTATTGAAAATTAGCTTGTCTTTAAATCAGGCACTGGCTGCAGTATACTTTTCATTAATTTTGCTCCTGTCATATTCATACCGTATACATGTACATGTATATAAAATATTCGGACATTTTTCTTTCTTTTTCTTTAAGTCTTTTTCATAATTAATTCTTCCTTCAGACTTAGAATTGAATGCTTATTTCATATTTCAAGTCTTCTAACGATTTACAGACTTCATCAATATATTGTTACATACATGTATAAAGGCGCCTAAGCGCGACAGAGAAAATTTTGAACAATTTTGAAGCCCAAAATTTACTTGACTATCTTTTTTGATTGAATGGCTTCATTGCTGAATTAAATGATTTTTAATATTCCCAGAAGCATGGCAAGGTCATGCAATAAGGTGAACATTTACTCAAATTACGCCGATGGCCTAACGGTTCATTGTTTAACACCATGCATTCAAAAACGCTAGGTGGCAATCTATAGTTAGTAAAGTAGATCCAGACAACAAGTAAAAATTACAGGTCATGTAGTTTTATTAATATTTACGCATTTGAATAATCATGTTCCTTGCAATTGCATGTTAGTATAGCATATAAATATTGTTCTTCAAGCATATGAAATTAAACTCGCATATATACATTGCAATAAGCTAATTACCAACCGGGGAGCAGTATTTTCTATGGCTTACATGTAAAGTTATTGCCCTTACAATTTTAAATTACATTCATTTTTTACAAAATTAACAATTCTACTAAATGCAATTTAACGTAAAATGAATCAAGAATAAACATTTCTTGTTTTCTTTAACAATAACGGTAAGAATATTCTCTTTATCGTATGAAAAGTATTTTTCTATTA